TGTGTGTGCATATGTGTGTGTGCATGTGTCTGTGTGAGTGTGCATGTGTGTGTGCATGTCTGCAGGTGTGCACACATCTGTGTGTGCATGTGTGGGTGTGCATATGTGTGCGTGCATGTGTCTGTGTGCGTGTGCATGTGTGTGTCTGTGTGCGTGTGCATGTGTGTGTGCATGTCTGCAGGTGTGCACACATCTGTGTGTGTGCATGTGTGTGTGCGTGGGTGTGTATGTCTGTATGTGTGTTTGCGTGTGTGTGCATGTGCGTGTGTTTGCATGTGTGTGCATGTATGCATGTCTATATGTGTGTGTGCGTGTTTGCATGTGTGTGTGCATGTGTGTGCGTGTGTGTGTGTGTGAACAACACACAGACATCCAGGACTATGTACCTCTGTGTCCTTACAGACATGTAAGAATGTTCGCAGCGATGGATTTATAACAGCTCCAAACCAGTGGTGGTTGGACTGAGAGACGGAGAAAGAAATTGCAATTCACTCATTTAATGAAACCTAAATGGCAGTAGGAAAAGAACCAATTACAAAAGCACATCACAATGTGGAAGGATCTTAAAAATATAAGCCCCCCCCAAAAAAAAACCCCACAGACACCAAGTATCTCAAACTGTATGGATTCAGTTTGACGAAGTTCAGGCGGATGAGGGCTGGCGGGAGTCTCTGTACCTAGACGGGGTTTTGCTGTGAACAAAACTGACCTAAAACACCAAATCTCATTCTTAAAAAACTGTAAAAGAAAACAGAAAACCAAAGTACGGCCGGCTCAGGACGGCCAGTGAGACAGCAGCCAGACACAGCGACGTGAACCAAGACCAGATCACTTCTGAGTATGAGCTCATCCTGAGCATGTCACGTGACACTCAGGGAATATGGCAGTCCCTTCGCCTCCCAGCAGTCCCTGCAGCCTGGGCCGGGTGACAGGGACTGGGCAAGGACCGGTGGTCAGCACCGAGCTCAGGCCTGGCTGTGTGAGGCTTGGCCAGCCTGAGGCTCCTGGCCATGGGCCCCTCCGTCCGCTGGACGGCTGCACCACACATGGTCGGGGCCTTGCACAGGCCACGCACACCGTGGCCACGTGGGCCGCGTGGCCCCAGCACGGGCCTGATGGGGAAGCAGGACCGCGGGTCGGCCTCGCCGTCGGCCAGGCCAGGCTCTTGGTGGCCA